GCCCCTGGTAACAGAACATTTCCAAAATCTCTTCACAGCAAGAAGAGGCGAGGGGGCCTCTTATGCCTCCCGCCCGCCAACCTCGGGAAGTTCGGCCGGGTCGGCCGAGCTCGCGCAACCCCGCGCCGCGCCGAGCACGGAGCACGCCGATGCTTGGCGCGCCCCCGTGCGGCCACCCTGCAGGATAAAGTGGCGCTCCAGCCCAGGACGAGAAGCGCGCAGCTCGTGCAGGGTCAAAACTGATAGCAAGGACTCGCGATAAGGATGCAAGCCCCTTTGACGCGCTTGTCGAAGCTTTTCGAGAGGGGCTCGCCATGAAGAGTGGCCAAGGATGAACCAAAGAAACAAGGATGCAGGGGGGAAAGTTACCCATCCTTATCACTGGTTTCGACTGTATCGTCGCGCCCCTGCGTGTAACCTACGTACCGTCGAGCGAAATCATAAGGGCGCGCGGTAAAGCTGCAAAGGCACTAGGCGCGTTGAACATCCTGAACAGCGCACGACAGGCCGAAGATGCTGAGGGAACCGCCAAAGAGGCAAGGACGCAAGCCAGGCCATCTTGGGAAAATTACGTTTCCTTGTAATGACAGTTGGCTGCACAAAAGAAGTAGACACAACGCCATCATGTTAGCCAGCGAAAACCCAAACAGCGTTTCTAGCAATAGATATGGCGCTATATATTATATATGTGCAATAGATGTGATGCAATCTACGTGGGAAGAGTTGTGTGGTGCAAAATATGTGGTGCAACGCACGCTGTGCAATATATGTTGTATGACATACGATGTGCAACAGATGTTGTGCGTTATACGTGGTGCAATCTAGGTGGTGCAATATATGGTCGAAGGTTTGGGCCCCCCCCCAATGCTAATGCCATCGGGCCCCCCCCCACCCGCGCGATGGTCCCCCCCGCCCCCCCTGTGGATGTGGTGTGAGCGTGGTGTGTTGCTGTGGGTGTGTGTGGGGTGACCCAATGTCCTCCCCCCCCTCCCCCCCTGTGGGTGTGATGTGGGTGCGCGTGTAGCTATGATTGTGGCGTCATGCTGACGTCTTTTCGGAAAGCTCCGGTGCTCGACGTCGTCGCCGCCGCCGCCGGTGCCGTCGACGTCGTCGTTGTCGTCGTCGTTCACCGTCGTCGTCGTCCGCCGTCGTCCGTCGTCCGTCGTCGTCGTCGTCATCGTCGTCCGTCGTCGTCGTCGTCGCCGTCGTCGTCGTCGTCGTCGTCGTCCGTCGTCGTCGTCCTCCTCCTCCTCCTCCTCCTCCGCCTCCTCCTCCTCCTCCTCCTCCTCCTCCTCATTCTCCTCCCCCCCATCCCATCTGGGGGGGGGGCCCGAGGACCCTGGGACCCATCCCATCTTGGGGGGGGGGGCCGTGGGCCCGGAACCCGCGATCATATATGTGGTGTTTCCTACGTAGTGCAAGTAATCGATATATTGAATATATATATATATATATATATATATATATATTATATAGACATACATACATATACATATACAGATGATGCAATATAAGTGGAGCAATATATGTGCGGGAATCTATGTGGCGCAAACAACGTGGCACAAAAGTTGATGCGTTACCTATGCTCACATAGATGGCATAAGCTATGTGGTGCAATTCCTGTGCTGCTCTCTACGTGGTGCAACGTATGGTGTGCAACTTTGTGCGGGACAATCGATGTGGTGCAATGTATGTAGTGCTAACCATATGGTAAAATACACGTGGTGCAATATATGTGGTGCAAGTAAGGTATGTTCGCACTGATTTGTCCACTCCGATGCTCGCGCAATCATCCAACCCACCCACCCGCAACTTGGCTTGCAAAACCCACGCGGCGTCGACTGCGATGAGGGCTTGCATTTGGCTGGTACATCTCTGCTGCCGCGCTAGCCCGCGCATGCTGGCGCGCGCAGAGGCCGGATAGTTTGTCGCTACCGACGCGGCCGCGGTGACGCTGACCGCTGGGCACTTTCCAGAGAGCACTTCAGTGCGAGTCAACGACTTGGGCGGCGCGGTTTTATGACAACGTCGACGACGGTAGACGCGATGATGATGGTAGCGAGGCTGGTAGAGATAACGACGACGGCAAGGCCAGTGACGGCGACAATGCTGATCACGTCACGCCGACGTAGACGACGGTGCCCTCGCGTTGGGGATAAAGGTTTTGGAGGGAGGTCGGCATGCGCGCGCGACCGACGCGCGAGAGCGGCCCGCATGGCATTGTTGTGACACGGACCGCCGCCCTCCCCCAGAACGCGCGCAAGGGCGCTCGAATGACTCCAACGTGCGGCGCGAGGCGCCCGTTGGGCCGAATTGGCTGGAAATGCTGAAAAAGCAATGGTTTTCTTAAGAATTCGCAGGAGCGCGAGCGCAAGCATTTTGACAACTGATGCTGGGAGACAATAACCCATGGCGTTTTGAAGGATTGCCGCAGGCGCGCGCGATGACACGCGCGTGCGCACGTCGTCCCATTTGCTGCAAGGGATTATTTCGACAACACGCGCGCAAAGGCGTTCGAGCGATTTCGACATGCGCGCGCGAGAGCGCCCGTTTGCTAGCAAGTTAGAGAATCTTAAAACCTGGAACCTGATGAATTTTGATAAACGAGTGTGCGCACATCTTTTTTGCAGAGGATAGGGGGGCGAATACCGGCCTGCCTGGGAAGAAAGCAACTCATATGTAGGATGGACGATCGAGCAGAATCATATGTTGATGGCAACTCGGAATGGTGGATCGTTCATTCGGGGGGGTAGATCCTAGTACTCTTTAAGAAGGGAAATCCATGTGAAGTAATAAATGCGAAGCAATACATGAAGTGCCAGCTATGTTATGCCGTCTACGTTGTGCATCTAACGGCGGCGACGAGCGGCGACGGCGACGATATAGCCGCCAGAGCGGCAGACAGGCCCAGACGACGGGCGGCAACGAGGCGGCGACGAGGCGGCGACGGCAACAGCACAGCCGCCAGAGCGGCAGACAGGCCCAGACGGCGGGGGCGACGAAGCGGCGGAGGGGCGGCGACAGCGACAACCAATCCGCCGGAGCGGCAGACAGGACCAGCCCCTAAGGGAGAACCCTAAGTGCAAACACTGTTTGGGGATAAGACCTCCTATGGGCAAACAGGAGGTACAGCGAAGATCCAAGAAATCCGACAAGACCTTCGACAACTTATGGTTGTGCCGTTTCTTCTTCGAACTCCAGCTCACAGGAAGAGCGGTACAATAAAGGAGTGGCCACAAGAACGCCAGTCAGGGGCATTGCCCCTTTGCGGAAGTCCCATGGTCAAAAGAAGATACCCCAAACGGAATGCATTCCGAGGTGGAGCCCGAAGACGAAGAATGTCAGGGTACCCCTCCAAGTCTCAGGCTGTTCTTGACCCTCGTGCCAATGGTATGGCATGGCGGTCGCCAGAATAGAAGGCGGCGCGAAAGCGAGTGTAATAGACACGCCTGGACTTGATTGCGGGGCTTGATAGTGAGCTGCTTCTTCGCGACACTGTCCTCGATGAGAGTCGACAGGTTGTGCGCCAGGTTGGATGTCACAGTCAAGCGTAAGTCTGGGCCCGACAGGCTCTCTGAGTCCGATTGTCCTCCTCATCATCGTTCCTCGTCGTCGTCATCGGAATTATCGTCGTCACCGTCACCGTCATCACATCACCATCATCGTCATCATCATCAGCAGCATCAGCATCAGCACAAGCATCAGCATCAGCATAAGCATCATCATGATCAGCCTAATCGTCATCGCAGTTGTCATCATCATCAGCACCATCACCATCATCAGCATCATCATCATACTCATCATCATCGTCATCGTTATCCGCATCATCATCACCATCATCAGCAGCAACAGCAGCATCAGCATCATCCTCATCACCATCACCATCATCAGCATCATCAACAACATCATCATCATCATCCTCATCATCATTTTCATCCTCACCCTTGGCGGCGGCGTCACCACCGTCTTCTTCCTCGTCTGCATAGTCATCACTCCTATTCTCTCTCTCTCTCTCGTCTTCCCTCCACCTCGTCCTCCTCCTCCTGCCTATCTCGCTCCTTCCTCCCTGTATTCCCTCCTTCTCCTCGTCATCCTCATCCTCGTCATCATCTTCCTACCGTCCCTCCTGCTCCTCATCCTCCTCCTCCCGCCCGTCCCTCCTCCTCCTCCTCATTCTCCATTCTGCGCCGTCCCCCGTTCTTCCATCCACCCTGGACCACCCGAGATGCTACAGCTGATCATCAGTGTCTGGAAGTGCTTGCTCAATCTGACTGGGAGTCGGTATACACCACAAGCGCTCGCCATTCCCCCTTATCACACGAGCTCGCTTAACCAGTCGAAGCTGTCGTTCAGTCTTTCCTAAACCTCATGGGAAAGCCAACGGACATGCCCGAGGAACAGCAACTCGCTCAAAATACCCGTCATTGTTGGCACTTGACCGAACCGCGTTTCCTTGGGTCTGAACCTTTGGGGCACTCGGGAGTGAGATGCGGCCCTAGCGTACGTAATGCGATGATCACCTTACAAGCGAACCAAACACAAACCAAACCCAACACGTGACTGCCGGGATGCTCGGACATGCGAGGAACCACCGCGGGGGCAAAAGAACCAGATGAAACAGCAAAAAACATGTTCATGAATGAACGCACCCAGCAACAGCAAACTGCAACAGCAGCTGCGACGTCTGTGGAGCAAATCACAGCGAGGACGATGGTATCCATGAGTATCGTGGCGACGACGGAAACCGCGAACATGGCAGAAGAGCGCCATCAACGATTAAATAGTACACACCCATGTTCAAAGGGGGGACGGAGAGGGCTATAGGTGCGTGTTGACTGATGAGGGTCCCCACTCGAATGGCACCCTCCCCTGGGGTTCGATAACCCGCACCCATCCCCTATAGCCAGTCCTCCTCCGTCCGACCACCCAATTGTTGTGTGCGGATGGTGCGTGTGTTGTACGTTGTGTGAGCGCGTGTGCGTGTGCGTGTGCGCGTGCGTGTGCGTGTGCATGTGCGTGTGCGGGTGCGGGTGCGGGAGCGGGTGCGGGTGCGTGTGCGTGTGCGTGTGCGTGCGTGTGCGTGCGTGCGCGTGTGCGTGTGCGTGCGCGTGCGCGTGCGCGTGTGCGTGTGCGTGTGCGTGTGCGTGTGCGTGTGCGTGTGCGTGTGCGTGCGCGTGTGCGGGTTCGGGTGCGGGTGCGGGTGCGGAGACCGGCACGGGAGTTCCTACGAACCCCTCCTGGATTCTTCGTGCGAAACGCTTTCTTGTAAAATGTTTGGAAGGTTTTCCCAGGGGGGTGGGGGGGGCGAGGAAGTTTTTTGGAATGTGTCCAAAAACCTTCCAAAAACCTTAAGGAAAACCTTCTGAAAACCATCCAGTAATCGTCCAAAACCTTTCCCAAAAACCTCAAAAAAAACCTTCCCAAAACCTTCCAAGATTTAGCAAAACCGCCCAGTACATTCCAAACACCTTCCAACAACCTGCCGAAAAAACAATCCAAACAAAACACCTTCCAAAAACCGTCCAACAACCTTCACAAAAACACCTTCCAAAAACCTGCCAAAAACTTCCCTTTCCTTTCAAAAACCTTCCAAAACAGAAAACGCCCAAAAACTTTCAAACAACAACAACAACAACAAAGAACAAACAAAAAACTTTCGTCGCGAAGAATCCCAGAGGGGTTGGCCCAAAAACCTCCCAAAAAACCTTCGCGACGAAGGTTTTTGGAAGGTTGTTTGGAAGGTTTCTGGAATCCTGGATTCTTCGTGGCGGTGGTTTGTTGGAAGGTTTTTTTCGGACGGTTCGAGGAATCCTGGGTTCTTCATGACGAAGGTTTTTGGAACGTTTTTTCTTCGTGGCAAGGGTTTTTGGACGGTTGGTTGGAAGATGTTGGGAAGGTGTTTGGAAAGTTTGCTCTAGGTTTCGGAAGGTTTCTGGAATGTGTTTGGAAGGTGTTTTGGAAGGTCTTTGGAAGGTTGTTTGTTTCGAAGGTTTTGTTTGAAGGTTTGTTTGAAGGTTTTCGCAAAGTTTTTGGAATGTACTGGGCGGAAGGTTGTTTGCAAGGTTGTGGAAGGTTTTTGGGGAGGTTTTCGGAAGGTGTTTGGAGGGTTTGGGGAAGTTGTTGCAAGGTTTCCGGCCTGTGTCTGCAAGGTTTTGGAAGGTTTCGGAAAAACCTTCCAAAAAAACGTTCGGAAAACCCTGTTCACGAAGAACCCAGGATTCCTGGAACCTTCCGAAAAACCTTCCAAAATCCTCGGCATGAAGAATCCAGGATTCCAGGAACCCCCCAAAAAACCTTCCGAAAACCTTCGTCGCGAAGGTTTTCCGGCGGTCTTTGGGCAAACTCCTCCTGGATTCTTCGCGGCAAAGGTTGTTGAAGGTTTTTTGGGGAGGTCTTTGGGAGGTGTTTGGAACGTTGTTTGCAAGGTTGTCGGAAGGTTGTTTGGAAGGTGGTTTGTATGTTTGTTTTGAAAAGCTGTTTGGAAGGTGTTTGGAAGGTTTGTGTTGAAAGGTGTTGTGGAAGGTGTTTGGAATGTATTGGGCGGCTTCGATAAAAGGTGGAAGGTTCTTGGAAGGTTGTTGGTGGGTTTTGTGAAGGGTAGGTTGGAAGGTGTTTGGAAAGTGGTTTGAAGGTTTTTGGAAATTGTTTTGGAAAGTTGGTTTGACAAGGTTTTTCGGGAGAACCAAAAAAACGAAAACCCTCCAAAAACCTTCCTCGCCTGCCCCCCCCCCTGGGAAAACCTTCCCAAAACCTTCCTCGTGAAGAATCCAGGATTCTCCGTGACGAGGGTATTTGGGAGGTTTTTTTAAGGTTCCAGGAATCCTGGGTTCTTAGTGACGAAGATTTTCGGGAGGTTGTTTGGAAGGCTTCCCCGCAAACATCCCAAATTTTAGCGGAACCGCCAACATTCCAAAAACCTTCCAAAAAACCTTCCAACAAACCTACCAAAAACCTTCAAAACCATTTTTTTCTTAAGCCTCCCAACAAAACTTCCAAAGACTGTTCAAAAAGCTTCCACGTAACTTCTCCAAAAAAACGCCCAACCAAAACCATCCAAAACCCTTCGTGGCGACAAAGAATCCAGGAGTGGCTGGGCTAAACACCTTCCAAAAACCCTTTGTGGCGAAGGTTTTTGGCAGGTGTTTTGGAAGGTTTCTGGAATGCTGGATTCTTCGTGGCGAAGGTTTGTGGCAGGTTTTTATTGGAAGGTTTTTTTTGTCCGAAAACCTTCCAAAAATTGTCCGATGCCTTCAAAAAACCTTCCAAAAACCTTTTGGAACACCTTCCAAAAACAGTCAAACAAAAAACCTTCCAACATTTAACGAAACCGCCCAATACATCCTAAACATCTTCCAAGAACCTTCCAACAAACCGTCCAAAACACCTTCCAAAAAACTTCCAGAAACCTTCCAAAAAGCCTTCCAGCAACCTTACAAAAGCCGCGCAAAAACCTTTCAAGAACAAATAAAAGCTCCCAAAAACCTTCCAAAGAACCGTCCACCAACCTTCGCGACGAGGGTTTTTGGAAGGCGTGTTGTAGACGGACGCAGTTGAGTATTTTGTGTTGTGTTGAACGCGGAGGCACGGCGGGCGGGCGGCGGGAGGCGGGCGGGCGGGCACCGGGCGGGAGGGCGGCGGGCGGGCGGGCGGATTGGGATTCCAGTAGAACTCCCAAGGACTCCGTCTTGCAGCGGGACGCCGCTGAGTACTAGGTGTTGCGTTGGAGACGGGAGCCGTTGAGCACCGGGCGTTGCGTTGCACGCGGACGCTGTTGAGTGCTGGGCGTTGCGTTGGACGCGGAAGCACGGCGAGCGGGCGGGAGTGCAACGGGATTCCTCCTGTAGAGGATGACAGTGGAATTCAGGTGCATCCCGCTGCAAAAAAGAATCCTTACGAGCTTTATGCCGATCCGCCCGCCTGCCGCTCGCCCGACTGCCGCCTGTCCGCTGCCCGCCGCCCTCCGCCCGCTCGCCGCGCTTCCGCGTGCAACGCAACGCTCAATCGCGGGTCGGGTCGGGACGGGACGGGTCAAGCAAACCCTAGCGGGCGGGTCGGATCGGGTCGGACCCTAACGGGCGGGTCGGGTACATTAAAATAGGATGTATGTGCGAATGGACACGCGAGAACCCTCACAGGTCGGGTCGGGACGGGACGGGTCGGGCGGACCCTAACGGGCGGGCCGGGTCGGGTCGGACCCTAACGGGCGGGTCGGGGCGGACGCGCGGGACCGTAAAGTATGATGCTTTCGCGAATGGACACGCGAGAACTCTAACGAGTCGGGTCGGGGCGGGACGGGTCGGGTCGGGCGTAGGGCGGGTCGGGTCGGGGCGGCGGGCCCTAACCGGCGGGTCGGGTCGGGAGGGGAGGACCCTAGAGAGGGTGGGTCGGGTCGGGCGCGCGGCCTGGGGGGGTAGGCCTAGGGTGTGCCTGAGGGAACGGCCTAGGAACAGACCTAGGTTAGCCCAGAGGGAAGGCCTAGGGCTAGGCCTAGGGTAGCCCTAGGGGGTCAGCCTAGGCGTAGGCCTAGGGCAGGCCTAGGGGGAAGGCCTGGGCATAGCCTAGGGTAGGCCTAGGGGAAGGCCAAGGGGTAGGCCCACGGTAGGCCTAGGGGATAGGCCTAGGGGTGGGCGTAGCGTAGGCCTAGGGTAGGCCTGGGGGGTATCAGGAGAGCCCAGAATCGAATCGACAAGTCGGATCGGAAGTCGACATGAATCGGATCGGCGGAGATCGGCAGCCGAGTCGGGAGATGTCGAATCGGCAGAAGCCGGCAGGCCAGCGTGCGTCCGATGAGAGATCGGAACCCAAATCGGAACCCAAAGTCGAAGCGAATCGGCATCGGGAGCCATCGAGATCGAAGCGAATCGGGGGAATCAGAACGAGCGAGCCCTGGTTCTTCTCAAAGAGCAACCGCCGTCCGTCCAGAGAGTGGCCCCCCATGGGGCGGGGCAGGGGGCCACACTTACGTCGGGCCTGTCCCCCTACAGAGGGTTTTTTCGACGAGAAACGAAAAATACTTCAAAAATAATCCAAAAATAATCCAAAAATGGCCTGGGGACTAGTTTTTGCATAGTTTTGACCATTTGGGGGCATTGTTGGGGTATGTTTCATTTTTCGTCGAAAATCCCCCTGTAGGGGGACAGGCCCGACCTAAGGCCTCACGGAGGAGCAGGCAGGAGCCGGTCCCGTCCGCGCCTCGGAAGCTCTGCTTCGCTCGGGCCAGCAGGGTCCTGGCCGGGGGCGCAGGCGAGGCGGTCTCTGACCGCAGCCCCACGCCACCCTCCTCCTCCTCCTCCTCCTCCTCCTCCTCCTCCTCCTCCTCCTCCTCCTCCTCCTCCTCCTCCTCCTCCATCCTCCTCCTCCTCTCCCAGACGGCGCGGGACCGCCCGGGATCCCCCTGGGCCTACCTGCCCAATGGCCTGCTCTGTGGCGGCGCACTCCTCCCGTCGGCCCCGCTGACTGGCAGTGGCAGCCCTGGAGCAAATCTGGACCCACTGGATGCGTACAGGGAGTGTGAAAAAAACAAGGGTGTTGAAGAACACGGATTTTTTAATTCTGGGTTGTCGCGTAGGGTGTGGAGCGCCGGGGCCGGGGCGAGCCACAAAACTAGGATTACAAAAAAAAACGCAATGATCCATCCAGTCGGTCGGATCCGACAGCGTGTTAGCCTCTGCGTAGTGATGAACACGCCGTCGGTTCCGAGCTGAAGCCCCTGATGAATGCTCACGCCATCGCGCCGCGCGCACTAGAATGTCATTACCCCGAGGGCCCCATCCGCGCGAGACGGAACTGGAACCAACACTTCGTGTGAGGTCACGGATGTGAATTGGGGGGCCCAAGTCGGTGCAGTGCCATCAAAATCCCAACCACTTCACTGGAGGGTCCGTGAGCGCACGGGTTGGGGGCCTTGAGGGCCCCAGTCGCCCGAAGCATCCTCGGATAATGACCCAAATCCAACACGATGCGGTCACCCCCATGCCCCGCTGTCGCCGCACCGCTTGGGAACTCCCGCAGGCAATCCTTTTGGGGGCCGCCCCCAAAACGGGAGAGCACGAGTGCTCGCTGCGTGGTGGGCAGCCCCGGCGAACTCGTCCTCGCGCGAGCGTGCATAGCCATGAGCAGCGAACGCCACCGAGCGAGCAGAGCCAAACTCCCAGAGCTAAAACAGGGCTAGGATCGGGATAAATCGCTCCAGAGCGTTCTGGAGCGCTCTCAGAGCGTTCTGGAACGCTCTGGAGCGGCCGCGGCGCCCAATACATCCTGCAAACCCGCCGATTCTCAGAGATTTCGAGTTATCCCGATCCGATTTTGCCCCGATCTTCGTGTCGTTCTAAGAGCCTCAGGGACGGAGCAGATGAGGCTCGAGCGTGGAGCTGCGCACCCCGTGCAGATCAGGCTCGTGCGAGGCGCCCGCCGAGCCTCCGAAAAACGCGCGCGAGGTCGTGGACCGGGAAGCCGGGAGCCCGAGAGCGGTGCGCGAGGGACGTCGTCGCGACGCCGTCTAAGATCAAACATCGGGAGCGGCCAAGAGGGGGGTGTCCAAGAGGGGGGGGTGCAGATCGTGACCGGCGGCAGGTGCGCGGCCCAGCGGGGGGGCCAGGGACGTAACGAAACAAGAAGAGGCGCCATGAAATCTGGGGAGATGTCATGGCCCCCGCCATGATATCCCCCCCCCCAGTTATCACCCCCCTCTTTTCCGCCCCCGAAAACAAACAGCAAGGACACCAAAAACGCAGCACCGCCATCACGATCCGCGCGTCAGCCAAGGGGAAGCCGTGCGAGGCCGCGCGAGACCAGCCGACGGACCTCATCATCTGTCGAAGCTCCTGCCCGGTCTGCCCTCTCAACCGTGCTTGCACAGTGGAAACTGATAGACTGGATGCGCGGTAAGGATGCAAGGGCCTTGGACGCCCAGGCCGAAGCTCTTCGAGCGGGGCTGGCCATCGAAAGTGGTTAAGGATAAACCGAAGATGACCTAAGAGGCAAGGATGCAATGGTACCCTTGAGAAGACAGCCCATCCTTACTGTCGTGTTCGACTGTGCTCCGACCGAGTCCTTCGTGCCAAGGCTGTCTCGCTGTCGTCTGAGTCCTCCTCGTCCTCACGCCGGGGAGGGGAGGGCCGGAGGGGGGGGAGAGCGCGTCTTGGGTGGCCCTTCATGCCTGCGAGTGCGGGGAGGCCTCGAGGGACCACGAGGGAGAAGAACGAACGAACGACGCGCGAGTCTGCCCTGCAGGGGGACGGCCTGGCCAGCAGCCAGCGCGGCACGGCCGTGGCTGCTCACTCCGTCAGCCGGTTGAGCTCCTTCACGGTGCAGTCCACGAGGGAGAGGAAAGAAACTGAAGGCGTACTGTTACGTTGTTCCCATCCTACTTAAGGACCGCATCCCAGAAATAATTTCGAGCACCCGGAAAAGCGTCGAAACAGTGTCGAAACTGTGTCGGGCGAGCGTCTCCCAGGGCCCGACAGGTGAAAACCCTTGAGTTTCGGCACTTTTTGGGGCGCTCGAAAGTCTTCTTGGTGATCAAGGCTAAAGTAGGTTGGAACGGCATGAGCGCAGTGCTGGCCGAGACGAGCCCGTGGGCCCCAGGACAGCGTGCGTCCGTGCCAAGGCCACGCGGCATGGCCCACGACGCGCTCGCCCGGAAGGTAGCGTCAGCGGATGGAGGATAGCCCACGCCAGGGGAACAAGCCTCGAGCCCATCCGTATGCCCAAGATTGGCAGGCCCGAGGCGATGAAAAACCTACGGGCGCGCCTGCAAGAAATCAGGGGCCCCCTGAGATCGGTACCGGGACAGGGTGGTGCTGATCATAGCTTCTCGGTAGTCCTCACTCGCCTCATCACCAAACTCCATCATTCAACCTCTCGATCCAAACAATCATCATGGGCATAGTTTCTGCATGGGCTGGTGTGGGTACGCAAAGCTTCAACAATTAACGAACTGACAATCAACAGGTGAAACGGGAAGCCCCACAACGCGAATCCACAGCAGTGGCTCGCATGTAACACATACGTGGACAATTTCACTTGATAGCACGCCCCCCTCCGTCATCGCTTCACAATGCAACACACGATGGTGTTAACTACAAACATAGTTCCCCAGGCGAAAAACAATGGCTGTGATTGTTGACGCAGTGGGCGTTCGGCATCGCGCCCGCCCCCCGTCCCCGCGCCCCCCCCCCCGAAACAAAAACACCATGGTAACTTCCACACACACACACAATAAAAACACACACACGCGCACACACACACACACACACACGCACACACACACACGAAACACACACGCACACACGCACACACACACACGAAACACACACACACACACACACAAACACACACACACAAAACACACACACACACAAATGCGAGTGCGAAACAATCGCTGGAAAAGGAGCGTCGGGGGATGACGCGGACACGACCCGCAAATATTTTCAACAGCAAGACCCCGTCGTGCCCCCGCCCCCACCTCCGTCGTCCGATATTTCTTCGCCCCCCTTTCTGCAATCCCCTTCCTCGCCATGTTTTGGCCTCATCCGCGGCGACGGGGCACTCGCCCATGAAAGATCGATCATGGGCTGCTTCGTGATCCAGCACATCCTTCGCATCACCACGGGCGGATCCCCGCACCGCGCACGAACGGTGCCGCAAGTGATGACGGGATCCTGGCACCTCGCACGAGTGGCGCACTTGCGAACAAATCAACGGGACTTCCCAAACGCACGTTGCGCCGACGCACGTCACACATCTCCACGTGAATTCAACGGACGAAGAAAAACGTTTACATAAACTGCGGGAGGTCCGCGCGGATTGCTTGCATCTGCGCTAGGCCCCTCGCCCTGGCGCGCTCCGCCGCCGGGGGGGCCCATGGCAAATCCAACAGGTCCGCGGGGACCGTCGAACAAGTATGCGAATGCAGTTTTTCCCCACATCCAAAGTGGGGTTCTTGTTCTCTCTGGACACCCCGCGCAGGAACAGGAACCCACCATCATCATCATCATCATCATCATCATCATCATCATCATCATCATCATCATCATCATCATCATCATCATCATCATCATCACTCATTCCTCACCCACTCACTCACTCATCATTCCTCACACACCCACTCACTCACTCACTCACTCACTCACTCACTCATCAGCACTCACATATGATGATGATGATGATGATGAGTGTGCGCGTGAGAGAGAGTGTGATGGTCATCATCATCACCAGTCAGTCAGTCACTCACTCACTCACTCACGCACTCACTCGCCTTGGGTCTCGTCTGTGAGTGAATTGCGAGGAAGTCTCAAGCGGGAACCCCCTCCCTATGGGGCCCGCGGATCATGTTACTAATCCGAGCGGGTCATCCAATTCCTGTAACTGTCGCCACTTTTGGGCTCTCGCGCTGCCAGAACGCCATTCCCAGGCCACATCTGTGAGTGAATTGCGAGGAAGTCTCAAGCGGGAGCCCCCTCCCTATGGGGCCCGCGGATCATGTTACTAATCCGAGCGGGTCATCCAATTCCTGTAACTGTCGCCACTTTTGGGCTCTCGCGCTGCCAGAACGCCATTCCCAGGCCACATCTGTGAGTGAATTGCGAGGAAGTCTCAAGCGGGAGCCCCCTCCCTATGGGGCCCGCGGATCATGTTACTAATCCGAGCGGGTCATCCAATTCCTATAACTGTCGCCACTTTTGGGCTCTCGCGCTGCCAGAACGCCATTCCCAGGCCACATCTGTGAGTGAATTGCGAGGAAGTCTCAAGCGGGAGCCCCCTCCCTATGGGGCCCGCGAATCGTGTTACTAATCCGAGCGGGTCATCCAATTCCTGTAACTGTCGCCACTTTTGGGCTCTCGCGCTGCCAGAACGCCATTCTCAGGCCACATTTTGAATGCCCGGAGCCAACTGTAGGCCACTTCGTGTTCTTCGTGCTCCCAGAACACCATTCCTGGGCCACATTTTGAATGCCCGGAGCCAACTGTAGGCCACTTCGTGTTCTTCGTGTTCCCAGAATACCACTCCCCATCCACTTTCTGAATGTCCGGAGCCCAAACAGGAGGGCGAGGTCGGGGGCAACGTAGGAAGCGGGGGGAGGGCCCGCGCCAGGGCGAGAAGACATATACGCAGAAGAGACAGCCAGGACGCCTCACCAACCACGAGGACGACGGTGAGGGCTTTTTCCAGATTCGCCCAGAGGATTCTCATGTGGGGTCCTTCCGTCGGAGTAATTCTGTGTTCGAAGAATGGTTCAGAGCGACAGCCCTTGCAGAACAGCAAGCACGTCCCTGCCGACACGGGCGCGTTTCCCCTCCCCCCCTCCACACCCCTTCCTTCAAGAGGCCGCAGCCCCGTGGCCGCGACGGACCCGAACGCCCGGCACGGCCCAAGATGTCCAAATGCCATGCCCAAGGTGTTCCTCCCTGGGTGGACCTCTGGTTCAACGTTTCCCCAAGATAGTGGTCCTCGACCATGCAGACAATTTTGCGGAAGTAGCGAGAGTAGCGATGCCCTGAACTGCCACGCGCCCTCGAGGAGGATGAATCTGAGGGGGGCGGCGACGACGACGAGGGGCAGCGAGAGCAGGCGCAACAGAATCCAAGATGGCCCCAAGATAACCCAAAAGACCCCCAAGATGACCAAATGACGCCCGAGATGGCCCCCAAGCGGGCCTCGAGATGACCCAAAGAGACCCCCAAGACGGCCTCCGAAGAGGCCAGACAACGCAAGAGCACCCCAAGACGGCCCAAGACGACCCAAGGGGCCCTAAGAGGCACAAAAGAGACCCCTTAGAGGCCGCAAAAGCCCCCAAGACGCCTTCAACAGGCCCCTAAGAGACCGGCAGTCGGCCTCACAACGGCGTTGTCACTAGGTGCTCTGGATGCGCGCCCCGCGAAGCGAGGAAGAATTACCGTCATCCACAGCAGCAGCAGCAGCAGCAGCAGCATCGTCATCATCATCATCATCATCATCATCATCATCATCATCAGCAGCAGCAGCAGCATCGTCATCATCATCATCATCATCATCATCATCATCATCATCATCATCATCATCATCATCATCATCATCATCATCATCATCATCATCATCATCATCATCATCATCATCATCATCATCATCATCATCATCATCATCATCATCATCATGATGATCATCATCATCATCATCATCATCATCATCATCATCATCATCATCATCATCATTATCATCATCATCATCATCATCATCATCATCATCATCATCATCATCATCGTCGTCATCATGAGCATCATCAGCATCATCATCAGCATCATCATCGTCATCATCATCATCATCATCACCATCACCACGATCACCACCACCACCTCATCATCATCAGCATCATCGTCAGGATCATCATCATCATCATCATCATCATCATCATCATCATCATCATCATCTCATCATCATCATCAGTATCATCCGCATCATCATCATCAGGATCATCATCGTCAGCATCATCATCATGATCATCATCATCAACAACGGCAGCACCAGCAGCAACATTATCAGCAGCAGCAGCAGCATCAACATCAGCATCAGCATCAGCATTAGCATCATCATCATCCTTCCTCCTCCTGAAACACTAGAGCCGCACAGACGACAAGACCACACCCGTCCGTGCGGGTAGGGGCGAGGATTCAGGAAGCCGGTACCCCAATGTTTCCTCATGATCCGTCGGAAAAAAATATGTTTGGTCGCGGCGACTTCGGGCGAGACGCGTCAGCTAAGAATGGAGGGAAAGGAAATCGATAACCCTGACCAAGACTCAACGCGGAAACCTCGGTGTCGATCTTGGTCATCATCCATACTGGACAACGTCATCTCCTGAATCGTCCTCGCGAATCGGCGACGACCAGCGTGGACCATGGCCAAGACCAGCGTCGACAAGATCCCGCGACATCTTGGTCATGGTCATCGTTTTCTTCCATCGAAATGACAACTCGAATGGGCAAATTGGCACGCAGGCAACTTGCACTGGAAGAGCGGCCGCTGAAACCTCGGAGAAGACAGGCGAGGGACGATCAGACGACGATCAAAAGATGCGTCTTGGATCCTTGCCCCCTCAAACAGCACAAGAGAGCGACGGCCGGTGTTCCGTCGTAGTCTCTGTCCCGCGCCCCCAGCTGAATGATCGTGGTCTCGGCGAAGGCTCCTCGGGTCGCACCACCCCGTGGCGCTTCGCCGCTCCGTCGCCGCCCGTCGTCTGGGCCAGTGCGGCTGTCTGGCGGATATGTTGTCGCCGTCGCCGCCCCGTCGCCGCCCCGTCGCAGCCTCGTCACCGCCAGTCGTCTGGGCCGATGCGGCGGTCTGGCAGCTATGTGGTCGCCGTCGCCGTCCCGTCGCCGTCCCGTCGCCGCCTCGTCGCCGCCCGCCATCGTGGCAGTATATGTGGTGCAATACGTATGGCATAACATATATTGCACCAGCTATATTGCACCACGCATGATGCAACACATGGATTGAACCGCATAGTCTACACAACATATGTTGCACAGCATATTTTGCACCACCCGCACTGCACCACAACGATTGCACCACACGAATTGCACACAATGAGATGTACAACAGAGACTGCACCACGTAGACAACAAAGAGTGCGCAACACATGTTGCAACACAGACATGGCACCACCTTCATTGCACCGCATAGAATGCCCAAATAATTACACACATACAGTTCGATACACAGTGCAGAGCACCGATTGCATAATATACAGATTGCACCGCATAGGTTGCACCACATATATTGCACCACAGTGGTTGCACAACAGATACTGCAACACTTCACCTGCACCACAGACGTTGCAACACCTGGATTGCACCACGCCGGTTGCACAGCATACGCTGCACAACCTACATTGGGCAACATGGGAGTGCACCACCTACACTGCACCACACAGATTGCACCACGCATGTTGCACAACACAAATCGCAGAGTCTGGTAACGCACCACGCAGGTTGAACCACATAGGTCGCACAACATACATCTATATATGTAGATATACACATGTATTAGAACATGCTGACCATGTGGAGTCCCTTTCCCCCCCCCCCCCCAAAAAAAAAAAAAAAAAAAAAAACTAAATTCTACCACCCCCCACCCCCCGGGTGTATCGATTCCCCGGGAACCGATGCAAAACACATATGGTTCTGACCCAATGTCCATCCGACCTTTGAATTTATAGTTTCCCTGCCAGTCTGGTATCGCACCCCCCCCCCCGCCATCCTTTGCAAAACTATGCGCGCATACTCGTTTACCAAATCATTAACAATTATCAACAACCACTTGCAAAACAAAAAAACAAACAAAAAAAACAATAAAAAAAAACGACGTGCACACGCGCGCGTCGTCGCGCGCGCAGGCCGAAATCCTTCAAAAGCCTTCGGTTTCGGAAAAAAATCAAAATCGAGTGTCCAAAAATAAAACGTAATATACATATATAACGGTCGCAACATTGATATTCAACAGAGACGTGCGCACGCGCTCTTGCGAATTCTTAGGAAAGCAATGAGTTTTCAAGTGTTCCATAAAATGCTACCAAACGGGCTCCGCGCGCACATGGCGAAGTCGTTCGAACGCCCTCGCGTGCGTGCTGGGGTGGCACGATCCGTGTCAAAAATACCATGCGAGCCACTCTCGCGCGTCTGCCGCGCGCGCATTTCGAATTCCTTCCAAAACCTCCGTCACCGACGCAAAGACGCCGTCATCGTCGCCGGCGTGATCAGCATCGACGCCGTCACTGGCTGCCCCGTCGTCGCTGTCAGCATCGTCACCAACATCGCTACTATCATGATCCTGCCTACCGTTGTCGACGTTGCCATGATACCGCGCCCGCCCAACTCGCCAACTCGCACTGAAGTGTCCGCTGGAATGTGCCGAGCGATCAGCGCCACCGCATTCGCGTCGGCCGCGCCAAACTAGCTGGCCGATGCGCGCGCGAGCATGCGCGGGCTAGCGCGGCCGCAGAGATGCACCAGCCAACACCCAGCACGCATCGCAATCGTTCCCGCACGGGTTTTGCAAACCTGGTTGCGGGTGGGTGGGTGGGATGATTGCGCGAAGAGTGGAGTTGACAACTTCAACTTCGGCGAGTGAGTTCTCCTTTCTAAAAAGAGAATAGACTCTACCTCCCCCCCGGACTTATCCGCTCCCCTTTCGGGTATGTAAATCATATATGATTCTGACCACTCGCCCATGCTAAATATGAAATCAAATCATCCCAGCTAGGTCAGGTTCCCTCCCCCTGAGGTTCCCTTGTAAAAAAACACTATGCGGTGACATGTCTTGTTCTCACATAACACTTTTTCACAAACCCCTAGCAAAAAAATGAGACGAAGTGCACACGCGCGCGTCGTCGCGCGCGCATGTCGAAATCCTTTAAAAACCTTCGGTGCCGGAAGGATTTCGCAATCGGTGCCGGAAGGATTTCGCAATCGAGTTTCCAAAAAACATACAAAAACACAGGGTTTCGCACCACTGATTTGCTAAAAAAGCTTCCGCGCGAGCTCTCGCGAAATCTTAAGAAAACCATAGGTTTTTCAAGATTTTCACAAGATGCTATCAAACGGGCTTCGCGCGCGCGCATGTCAAAATCTGTCGGACGCCCTTGCGCGTGTGCCGTCGCGAGAATCCTCTGCAAAAGAAAACGAAGTGCAGACGCGCGCGTCGTCGCGGGCGTATGCCGACATCCTTCAAAACCCATCGGTTTCGGAAAGATTTCAAAATCGTGCGTCCAAAAAACCTACAAAAACCCAAGGTTTCGCAACACGGATTTTCAACAAAAGCGTGTGCGCGCGTTCTTACGTCGTCGTCGTCGTCGTCGTCGTCGTCGTCGCCGTCCTGCCTCCTCCCGCGTCGTCGTCGTGGTCGTCGCCTACGTCGTCCTCTGTCTTTTCTCGTGTTCGTCGTCGTCGTCCTCTTTGGCGTCGTGGTCGTTTCCGTCGTCGTTGTCGCCGTGGTCGTCCTTCCTCCTCCTCCCTCGTCGTCGTCGTCCGTCGTCGGCGTCTCGTCGTCGGCTCTATTTCGTCACCGTCGTCGTCGTCGTTGTCGTCGTCGTCGTCTTCCATCCTCCCTCGTCGTTGTCGTCGTCGGCGTCGCCGTCCTTCCTCCTTCGTCGTCGTTCGCGTCGTCGCCGTCCTCCCTCCTCCCTCGTCGTTGTCGTCGTTGTCGTCGTTGTCGCCGTCGTCGTCCTTCCTCCTCCCTCGTCGTCGTCTTCGTTGGCGTCGTCGTCGTCTTCGTCGTCGTCGGCGACGGCGTCGTTGTCGTCGTCGAAGTCTTCGGAAACGTCGTCGCTGTCGTCGTCGTCGTTGTCGCCGGTGTCGTCGTAGTCGGTCTTAAGAGGTTTTGCAAAGTGGGAGGGTGGGATGTTTGCGCGAGCAGTGGAGAGGACAGCTTCAAGTTGAGCAAGTGATTGATTCTCCTTAAAAAATAATAGACTCTATCCCCCCCGGTCTTAACGCTTGCCCCTGGGATAATATAATTTCACACACACATATATATATATATATATATATATATATATATATTCTGCACACTCGTCCATCCTAAATATGGAATCATACCATCCCAGGCAGGCCGGTTTCCCCCCCCTGAGGTTCCCTTGTAAAAAACACTATGCGGTGACATTCTTTGTTCTAACATAACACTTGCTCAAGAATCCCTTGCAAAAAATGAGACGAAAGGCACACGCGCGCGTCGTCGCGCGCGCATGCGAAAATCCTTCAAAAACCTTCGGTGCCGGAAGGTTTCGCAATCGAATTTCCAAATAACATACAAAAACACAAGGTTACGCACCACTGATTTGCTATAAAAGCTTCCGCGCGAGCTCTCGCGAAGTCTTAACAAAACCATAGGTTTTTCAAGGTTTTCACAAAATGCGCCTTTGCGCGTGTGCCGTCGCGGGAATCCTCTGCAAAAAATATGACGAAGTGCAGACGCGCACGTCGTCGCGCGCGTACGACGAAATCCTTCAAAACCCATCGGTTTCGGAAGGATTTCGAAATCGCGCGTCCAAAAAACCTACAAAAACCCAAGGTTTCGCAACACGGATTTTCAACAAAAGCGTGCGCGCGCGCTCTTGCGTCGTCGTCGTCGTCGTCGCCTTCCTCCCTCCCCCCGCGTCGTCGTCATCATGATCGTCGCCTACGTCATCCTCTATCTTTCCTCGTGTTCGTCGTCGTCATCCTCTTTGGCGTCGTGGTCGTTTCCGTCGTCGTTGTCGCCGTGGTCGTCCTTCCTCCTCCTCCCTCGTCGTCGTCGTCGTCCGTCGTCGGCGTCTCGTCGTCGTCCCTCCTATTTCGTCGCCGTCGTCGTCGTCGTCGTTGTCGTCGTCGTCGTCTTCCCTCCTCCCTCGTCGTTGCCGTCGTCGGCGTCGCCGTCCTTCCTCCTTCTTCGTCGTTCGCGTCGTCGCCGTCCTCCCTCCTCCCTCGTCGTTGTCGTCGTTGTCGCCGTGTCGCCGTCGTCGTCCTCCCTCCTCCCTCGTCGTCGTAGTCGTTGGCGACGTCGTCGTCGTCTTCGTCGTCGTCGGCGTCGGCGTCGTCGTCGTCTTCGTCGTCGTTGTCGGCGTCGTCGTCGTCGTCGCCGCCGTCGTCGTCGTCGTCGGCGTCGTTGACGTCGTCGTCGTCGTCGGCATCGTCGTTGTCGTCGTCGTCGGCGTCGTCATCGTCGTCGTCGGTGTCGTCGTCGTCGTCGGCGTCGGCGTCGTCGTCGTCGGTGTCGCTGTCGTCGTCGTCGTTGTCGGCGTCGTCGAAGTCGTTGGAGACGTCGTCGGTGTCGTCGTAGTCGTTGTCGGCGGCGTCGTCGTCGTCGTTGTCGCTGTCGTCGTCGGCGTCGCTGTCGTTGGCAAGTGCCATTTGGTACCCACCGTCACGGTCTTAAGAGATTTTGCGAACCAAGTTGCGGGTGGGTGGGTGGGATGTTTGCGCGAGCAGTGGAGTGGTCAAGCGCGGTGCAGGGTAGTCAGTTGCACCACATAGATTGCACCACACAGGTTGCACCACACAGATCCGTCACCGTGCCATGGGCACGGAGAGGCCGAGTCAGAATGCTCCTGTGGTCCCTCTGGGCAGTGCTTGTGTTATTTGTTCTAGGGCCGCCCCCTTGTTTGATTGTTGTTGTTCTAGGGCCGACCCCCTCGCCCCCCCGATGGCTCGCACGCGGGGTTCAGGAGTCTCCCCCGTTGAGGTTGCTCCACGACACCCTTGTCAGCCTCCAGACGGTCAGGATGGCCTCCAGGACGGCTACCAAGACAGCCAAGACGACAACAAAGCGGAACAAGATGTCTCAAAATAGCCCAAGGGCCTCGCAAGACAGCCTCACGACAGCCCAAGAAGGCCCCAAAAGGGCCACAAAACGGCCCGAAAGGCCCCCAAGACGGCCCAAGAGAGCTCCAATAGGCCTTCCCGGAGAGCCCGAGCGGGCCAGAACCATTGATTGGACTGAGGTGGTTGAAGGATGTTGAGGCTCTCGCCTGTTCGTGGTTCCGACCGCCCCAGACGGCCCAAGAGGCCTCCAAGAGGCAACACAGATAGCTCCAAGACAGCCCAAGGGGCCCCGAAGAGGGCCCCAAGTCGGACCAAGAGGGCCCAAAGCAAAGATTGTCCAAGAGGCGTCCAAGAGGAACCCAAGAGGGTCTTGAAGCGCTCGAGCAACAAAACAGCCCAGAGAGGCCTCTTGGGCAATATTGGACGGTCGGGAACCCAAACATGCCAGAGCATCAAATTCCGTCAAAAACCCAAGAAACATCAATGGTGTTGGCCTCCTAGGGCTCTTCTGGAAAGCCTATTGGAGACCTCTTGGGCCGTCTTGGGGGCCTCTCGATCTGCCTTGAGGCCTTCTTGGGAGCCCCATGGCCTCCAGGGCTGCTTTCAAGTCAGCCAAGATGACACCAAAATGGCCCAAGATGGCCCAAAACGGCTCAAGAGGCTCCCAAGACTGACTCGAGGCAGACCAAGAAGCCCCCAAGACGGCCCAAGGGGGCTCCACGAGGCCCTCCTAGAGAGCCCGAGCGGGCCAGAACCGTTGATTGCCAGCAGTGTTTGGAAGATGTAAGGCTCTCGCCTGCTCGGGCTTCCGACAGCCCAAGTTGGCCCAAGAAGCATCCAAATGGCCCCCAAGAGAGAGCTCGAAGACAGCCCAAGAGACCCCGACGAGGGCCTCACGTCGGCCCAAAAGGGTCCAAAGATCGCCCAAAGGGGCCCCCCAAGAAGGCCCCGCGACGGCAAGGAACCGCTGCAAGAGGGCACCAACCCGGCCTAGCGAGGCCCCCAGGGCGGCAACAATAGGCGTCAGACGGGCCAAGAATCCCCTAAGACGGCCCAAGCGCCCCCAAGAGGCCCCCGAGAGGCCCCATGAGGCCCTCAAGAGGCCCCGAACAAGCTCTCAGGAAGCTCCCAGGAGGCCCCCAGGAGGCTCCAGGAAGGCCCCCAAGAAACCTTCTCCTCCTCATCCGCATGTTCTCCCTCTCCTCCTCGAAAGCCTTTCAAGCCTAATGGACAGGGAAGGGGAGTTACCGCAAACCCTGCCAGGGTCAGCTCCCTACCTATCCTGCTCCTGGTCCTCCCCGGCCCCTCTCCTCCTCCTCCTGCTCCTCCTCCTCCACCTCCTCCACCTCCTCCTCCTCCTCCTCCACCTCCTCCTCCTCTTCCTCCTCCTCCTCCTCCTCTTCCTCCCTCTCCTCTTCCTGGCAGTTCGCAAGGTTCGGTGTTCCAAGGGCCAGCACGCTACATATAGGATGCCTCAGCCTTCCAAGACAAATCGTAGCGCCTGCAAGCTGTTTTACCCGAGCGCTTTTGCCAAGGCAATGTGGGCCCCTGAGCTCCAGGGAGTTGTTCCTTCAATGTTGCGAGGGCTCAGAAGCATGGCCCAGGCTGCTAGCACGACTCCGCAGAACTGTGTATGTGCTACGTCAGCTATTCGGCTCACCTTTAGTCTGGGGCAAGGCCCAATACAACTGTATTATCGCAACATTGTCAAGTCCTGGTCCTTACGCATTGCTGGCAACCAGAAGCGTCTTGAGCGTTTGGATCGATTATGGGATGCCTCGCTCGAAAAGGTTCATCAAGACTAAACTTGGGTCCGAGGTCCACTGCTGCCTTCCAGGCCTCCTTGCTTGCCATTGGGTGGGCTTGCCTCTCCCCCTTCTCGTTGGTCTCCCCTTCTCGCGACTCCTGGGAGATGAAAGCAGGCGGTCGAGGACCCTTGGGACCCCTTCTAGAAGCCTTCGACGAATCGACCGACGACCTACAGTGGAGCCAGGCAGCAGAGCATCTCGGCGGCAAAGGTATCCAGGGCCTAGTTTCGCTGTTCCACGTTTGGGAGCTCGTCGCCTCTCTTGGGTTCCGCATCGAGGCGTATCGGCAATGCATTGGCAATGCAGCGCGATCCTCCGACCCCATCTACACGGACCCCATCTGGGAGGCCTAGACTCAACGGCCGCGGAAGTCAACCCGCAGCGCGCGGAGCGAAGAAACCCAGGGCACCCTGACGAAAAGCACACGGTTTCCTGATGCGCGCCCCTGCTGTACAAGCAGGAGGCCAGAAGTGCTCGGCGGCGCCAGCGGTGTCCGCGAGGGAGGTCGCACTCCGCTCCTTCGGCGCAAATGGATCCGACCTACCTTGGGTGCGCGTGCACTGCCTGAGGGTGACCACCAGGGCCCTCGCAGCTAGCGACTCCAGCTCTTCATCGAGGAGTCATAAGGAAGACTTGGGGCGGCAGAGTGTTCAGCGGCATGCCGCCTTCCTAGACGGTGCCCAGCCCACCTCCTCCTCCTCCTCCTCCTCCTCCTCCTCCTCCTCCTCCTCCTCCTCCTTATCCGCCCCCCCTACGCGTATTGGTTGTTCAAAATGCTGCCCTCGCTGAAGCGCTGGCCTCATTTTCGAACTACCGTTCGTTCCGAATCGTGCTCCCGCTGCACCGCTGGCCTCATGTCCGCGCTTCCGCTCGTTCCGAATCGTGCTCCCGCTGCAGCGCTGGCGTCACTAGTTCCAGCGCCATGCCACACAATGGCTTTCGGTCCTTCCAAATAGACCCAAAATCTAAAAAATGATCCCCGACAAAATCATCGGAAGTGATTACACATTCGGTGTCGATTCGTTGATTTTGGGTCGCAGAAGCCCCCCCGTCCGTCACGTTGGGGCGTCGCCACGCCATGCTATGTCAGGTTACGCGTCCTCCGAATCGTGCTCCCGCTACAGCGCTGGCCTCATTTCCGCGCTTCCGCTCGTTACGAATCGTGCTCCCGTTGCAGCGCTGGCCTCATTATTTCCAGCGCCATGCCACACACACACAATGGTTTTCGGTCCTTCCGAATAGGCCCCATAAACAACCATCGGACGTGATTACACATTCGGCGCCGATTCGTTGATTTTGGGGGGCCGCAGAAGCCCCCCACCACTTTGGGGCGTCGCCACGCCATGCTATGTCAGGCTACGCGTTGATCTTCAACACCATGCTATGCCATGGAATGCTATGCCCTGCTACGACATCCGACTGTGTGAATAGAGAGGAGATTCACGCCATAGTAAGAGATGGGAGGGAGGGGTAGGACGTCAGATATGACGCGGGCGCACCTAGCTTGTCCCCCTCCCCCTCCCTCCTCCTCCTCCTCCTCCCCCTCCGTACTCCTCCTCCTCCCTCCTCCCTTTTCCCTCCTCGTCCTACTCCTCCTCCTCTTCCTCCTCCTACTCCTCCTCCTCTTCCTCCTCCTCCTCCTCTCCCTCCTCCTCCTCCTCTTCCTCCTCCTTTTCCTCCTCCTCCTCTTCCTCCTCATGTTCCCCCCATATCCTCCTATCCCTCCCTTCTACGCTGTACGGACATCAGCTTCACAGCTGTTGCGCCTGGGCTCCTCTCCCTCCTCCATCCTCCCGCCCCTCCTCCCTCCTCCTCCCCTCCCTCCTATCCTCCCCTCCTCCGTCCTCCCCTCCCCTCCCGCGCCGCTCCTTGCCGCCCGAGGGGCTCCACCCGCGTGCCTTCAGAGGCAGCGCTGGACTCCTGCCGCGCGGGCGCGCGGCCCGGGGAACGGCGACGAGTGCCGCGCGCTCCCCCCCTTCCTTCAAATGCTGCCAGAAGCTTGCCATCGCTCGGACGTCCTCTCGTGCGTGCAGTCGTCTCTTTCGTGCGTGTTTCGTCTTCCCGCGAGACGATCCAAGATACTCCTCGAGGGTCCTCGCCGAGGGCAACTTGCACACGTCTGCACGACGCCAAGGAAGGGGTCCTGGCCAGAGGCGCCCCCAGGACTCCCGGGGAGGCCCCCACAGCCTCCCCAGCACCCCTCGCCGGGCCCAGAGGCCCCAGGGGCCCCAGGAGCACCTTCAGCAACCCTAGATGCTCGGCTCCCCCCAGGCGCAGTGGTCGTGCAACCGTGGAGGAGCAGAAACTGCATAAACCGAAACTTTCAGAGGTCCACGCGGGTTTCTGGGATCGTCGCTGTACCCCCCTCCCTGGCGCGTGGAGCGCGCCTGGGGCGGCGCTGGAGGCGCCGCCAGGGTGCTCCCGCACAGATCCAAGAAATTCGCGCGGAACCCTAAATGTTGATGCTTACGCAGCTCTTCTTCTCCGAGTGCAGTCGTCGTGCTACCATACCCAACCCACCTCGCGTCATGACGAAGATTACAGCGGGGGATGTGTTGCTGCTTTTTACCTCTGGGGGGACCGGGCCCCAGGACTGTCAAAAAACTGCACTGAATGGAAAACTGGTCCCTGGGAATGGGTCGAGACTTCTGGGGGTCAAGGTGTGAAAAACGTACGTCGGGGATCGGGGTAAGAGGGGCTGAAGAAGGAACGAGGGAGCTTTGCGCGGCCACGGCCGGGTCTCGGCCACGAAGGAGCTCTCGGACCTGGGTTTCAGGAGCGGCCCCCGTGAATCGGAAACTGGGCAACGGCTGCTAAATCCGTGGCTGCTTAAAATCGACCTCCGGGAAGTTGTCTTCGTCCTTCCGGGAAGAAACCCGTTGACTGTTTCGCGTGCCGCGCCTCATTCCGGGAAGTTGTTTTGTTCCTTCTGGGAGGGCCGTTTTAGCAGCCACGGTTTTAGCAGCCCTCGCCCAGCTTTCGAGTGAACCAGAGCCCCCCCTGATCCCGCAGTGGTCCCTGCTTCAACGTCGTCACCGGATGCCTGTGCGCGCACGGGCGTGTGCGTGTCTGCGCGTGCGCTCGCGCTGCGCGCGCGAGTGCCATTGCCTGGCGTGCGCGTGCCTGCGCGCGCCCGCGTGCGCGTGCGCGTGCAAGTTCGGCCAGCTCGCGGCCCCTTCTGGTCTCGCTGCGGGGAAGTGACGTCACTCCGCCGCTGCGGAGGCAAGAAGAGCGTGTGCGTGCGCGCGCGCGCTCGTGCGCCTGCGTGTGCGCGGGCGTGAACGCGCGTGCGTGTACGTGGGCGTGCGCGGGTGCGTGCGTGTACGTGCGCGTGCGCGGGTTCGCGCGTGCGCGTGCGTGTGCATGGCAGTGCCGGCGTGCGCGTGCGCGTGCGCGTGCGCGTGTGCGCGCGCGCCTGTGCGCACACTGCTCCTCCACGGCGCGGCGCTGCTGTCTTGGAGCCTTCGGTGCCCCGCTGTGCCCTGCTGGCTGCGGCGAGCTGCGCCCGATTGTCGCCCAGCTGGATCCCACCTGGCACCTGGCACCTGGCCACGACAGACAACTGCGTGCGCAACGAGCGGCAAACATACGGCAGGTTCGCGTGGTGTCGACCTGGGCGTTGGTTTCTGCAATCGCATGGATCATTCAACCTTGAACGATCGGCGGCTTTCCGATTGCAACATCATTCCATACTGGCCGATTCTGACCCACTGGCGGCGTTCAACCTTGAACGCCCGCGGCGATATTGCCGCCGCGTCCGCACGACACGACCCTACCGCCTCCGTATCCGCATCCACACCCTAGCGGTCTGGATTCCGGGGCGCGATCCCGCGGATGCGCGGTTGATCAGCGGCGGCCTTCCGCAGAAGAGGAAAAACAGCACGAACATCAACTTTTGGGAGGTCCGCACGGAGTCATTGGATCTGCGCCCGACCTTACCAGCCTGGAACATATCCCTGTCCCTAAGCTGGGCATCGCCTCATCACAATGCCAATCTTAGGGGTTCCCATAGTTTTTCAGGGTGCATCCCTAAGATTGTCATCGCCTTCTGGCGTGTCAGCCTTAGGGATAGGGATAAGTTCGAGGCTGGTGGCCGACCCCCCTCCCTGGCGCCCTCCGCGCGCCGGCGGCGGGGCCGGCGGCGCCGCCAGGTGGGCCCAGCGCGCCGGTCAGAGGAATCCGCACGGAGGTCCGAAAGTCTGCGCCTGTGCATGTCTTTGAAGGGGCCCTGGGACACACAAAGAAATACACACTAATAAAATGATTCCCCATATTTTTCTATATTTTCTGGGTTTTTGTCTTCCCCCCCACTTCCCATATTTTCCCATATTTTCCTGGGGATCGACGATTCATTGTATCTGTGCGTTTTTTTCCCTCCTGAGTTCTGGTCTTCGATGCCAGCGGATGCGCAGTGCCCAGGCCCCCGACGTCGTGCTTTTTCACAACGTGGACCCCTGGCGATCTGGACCCGCTCCGCGGGGCCAGCTTCGCATCCTGGATATCATTTGTGTCGCGGTTCCCGGGCCCGTTCAGGGCTCCTGGAGGCCGGAGGTGGCCGCAAACATGCCGTCGTGATTTTTGTATCACGATTCGAAGGATTTTTGTCGAGAGCAGAGCGAGAAAGGAAGGGACCGACCGCAACACGTGTCGAATAAACTGTGCACTCCATGGCCAAGGCAGTGGAGACTGACCGGTGGCATAATCTACAGCAATATCCCAGAAGTAGAAAAGCAACGGCGAGAGAAGGAGAGGGGAGGAAGAGGAGAAAGAAGGAGAGAACATAACTACAGCCGAAACTGCTAGCAAGGATGCGCGATGAGGATGCAAGCCCCGTGGACGCCCATGCCGAAGCTTTCCGAGCAAGGCTGGCCACCGAAAGTGGACGCAAGGATGCAAAGGTACCCTTGGGAAGCAGGTCGCCCTTACAGTCGACCCGCAGAGTAAGGATTAGCATCCCTCCCAAGGGTACCCTTGCATCCTTGCTTCCTGGGTCCATCCTTGGACACTGGCGTTGGCCGCGCCCCGCTCGAAACGCTTCGAGATGGTCGTCCAAGGGGCTTGCATCCTTATCGCGCATCCTTACTCTGCGGGTTGACTGTACTGTCGATTCTGACCGTCGACGGGGCCGCAGACCGAGGCTCGAGGACGACCCGAGGTGGCCTGGGCGCAGAGGCCGGGGGCAGCCAAGAGGGGGGCGTCCAAGAGGGGGGGCGCAAATCATGGGCGGCGGCATGTGCGCGGCCCAAGGGGGGAGGGCCAGGGACGTAGTGAAATAAGAAGAGGCGCCATGAAATCCGAGGAAAAATCATGCCCCCCGCCATGATATCCCCCCCCCCTAGTCATCACCCCCCTCTTTGCCGCCCCCGATTACTGTCGATTCTGACCGTCGACCGGGCTGCAGACCGAGGCTCGAGGACGACCCGAGGTGGCCTGGGCGCAGAGGCCGAGCCCAGAGAGTGAAGGGGCCCTGGGACACACAAATAAATACACACAAATACAAGGATTCCCTATATTGTCCCGTATTCTCTGGGTTTTTGTCCTCCCCTCCACTTCCCATATTTTCCTATATTTTCCTGGGAGTCGACGATTAATTGTGTCTGTGTTTTTTTTCCCCTCCTGAGAGAGGCCCCCCCACCCACACCGCGCGCCGCACGGGCGGCTGCCCTGCTGGACACGGCCAGCCCCACGACCGGGGCCTCCGAGAAGCCAAGGGGGGGGGATCCGCAGAGGCCCGCGCGGCTGCCAAGAAGCCGTCTCGGAGGCCTCGCGGGGCCTCTCGGAAGGCCCCGCCCTGCCTTCTACGAAGCTCCATCCCCCTCCAGCCGACCATCTTGCCCCAGCGCGGAGGGGCAACGATAGGGGGGACTTGAACACGGGGGAGGTGCATCGACCTGGAACCGGCGATGCATCGCCGATGGCCCCTGATAGTGAATCCGCACCTTCCTCGGCAAGTTGGGGCTATCGGGCCCTCTCGGCGATCAATGGGCGATTGCGTGTCGATGCATCCCCCCCTATGCCTATCCCCTCCTATTCGAGCAGGGACCGACCCTCCCGGCATTCTTATAGGCCTACCACGACATGTCCTTAGAACATAATCCCGATGTGTTTAAACAATACAGATCTATCCAGAAAAATTCTGATAACAGATCGGCAGACACTAAACAGGGCTGAAAATTCTCTGTGTGTGTGCGTGTGTGTGTGTGTTTGTGTGTGTTGTTTAAACATTCTTCGGTGGGCATATAGGCGAGCCAAGACGATTCGCCACTGCCTGACATTTTGGAAGCGTGTGCGCAGCCTGGCCTGCCGCACCGCGCGGCCCCCGGCCCTCCCTGCCCGTCCTCGGCCCGCCCGCCGTCGGCCGTGCCCGCGGCGCGGGCGTGTCGGCGGTGGACACGCTTCCCCTTAGCAAACCACCCTCGGGCGAGATCCGCGCGGCACCGAGGCGGGAGCGACATTGTCGCCCGCTCGTGCGTCGACGAAGCTGCGTGCGAAAAATGCGCGCAGCGCCCCTGTTGGAGTTTAGTTATCCAGAGCAGTGGCTGCGGCGCCGAAGCGACAGCCACGCTTCGGCATTTCGCACGGGATGTGGGCCTCGTCCGATCTGTAGCACGAGTTTTGCAGCATGGGCGACGAAACGTCCTTGTTTCGGCGGTGGACAAACCTCCCTTCAATAAACCACCCTTCAGGGAAAACGACCTAGGACCGAAACCGACGGACCTGGACCCGCAAAAACGACCGCCGCGACGCCCTCTCGCGAACCGAAAACGCCAAATTCGCCAATCGATGTGTCAGGGTAAGAGGTCTATCGGCCTCCGAACGTGGACAGGCCAGGGCGGAGCACCTCCGCTCTGCGGGGCAACGATTGGGGAGGACCGGCTCCAGGGCTGGGCCAAAGCGTTGTTGTTTGTTTTGTTTTCGTT